CGGAAAGCCTTTCACTCATATCTTTGATGGCTTGAAAGGACGGCTTCACATTTCAGTGGTAATGCATTTAATATAATGAGTTCTTGGTTTTCTTTGTTTTTAAAATTCTTTCAACTTTTTATGCTGGGAATTTACCAAATATGGGTTTTGTGACGATGCCTATGGTTCATTTTCTAGGAATTTTTTTAATAGAAACCCTGCCTTTTTGTGGGTTTGGTTAACTTTGTACTAGAATTTAGTTCCAATTGTATTTATGTGGTGTGAAAGTTGAATAGGTTTTGATTTTGAGGTATCCTGAACTTGGTTTTAATTGTTTGGATCAATAATATAGATAATAATGTATGTACATATTACTGTACACAGGCAACATTGGGGACTGGGACAGCAACGAAAAAAAGCATACTTCAGTGTAATGTAGGAAACAAGAGTCCAGTTTACCTATGCTCATTGTTTCCTGAGAAGGCTGAATCATTGCAAATAAATGTGGAATTTGAGGAGTCTGAAGAAGTCATCTTCTCAGTTATTGGTCCTCGGAGTGTTCACCTCTCTGGCTACTATCTTGGTGGTTATCGGCATCGCAATTTAGATGATAATTCGTATCCTTTTGTTGAGTTGGGTTACTGTTTAGGCCATTATTTTTTTTCTCTACTTAATATTTTGGTCAAAAGTTCTATGTTTTTACTACCTAATTAGTTACTGAGAAAGGAAAAGAAAATAATTATTGGATTTGTTGCGTTTTTTTTTTTTGGGTTTCCAACAAATGGGGACCCAAGTGACCAGGTTTTTTTTTTCTTCCGGTTGATGAGGTTTATTTATCTCCTAGTTTTCGCAGCAAAACTAGATGGTTTTGTGTTGTGGACTTCTTTTGTTGTTGCAAGTTATGGGCATTTTTCATTGTCTAGTTCATATGAGATTCTCTTTCTTTTCCCTTTACTATGATGCCAAGAGAATCCTATGGGGAAGATATTGCTGACTCAGAAACACAGAGATCCGTTAACAGTGAAGAAGATAAGTATGATGATAGTTTTATTGATGACGATGACCCAGAACCAGAAGTTTACCCATCTTCTCCTGTTTCTGATAGTGGAGGTACGCGTTACCAAAATATTTGCTTTGAATTTTCCCGCCACAAATGGTAGCATGCATGAGTTTTAAAGTGTGGCCAGTGGCAGTAGCTCTACGGCATTATTTTGGTGTTTGTTATAGACAACATACTGATGTTCATCTACATTGAGTTTAGAGGCATATTTCACCATTTTTGGTCTCTGCGTCACATGTGCTCAGCTTACTAGCTTGCATCTTTAGTTTTTCTCGTTCTTTTTTAAGTATATGTCCTCTTAAAGATGCATCATTGATGAATTTTTGCAATATTATTCTGAGATATTTGCTCTATCTGTATTTGTAGATTCTGATTCTGGTTATCTAGAGGAGGTTTCGAATAAGGAGAAACCTCAAAATGGGAGGGGCGGCCGCAGACGACTTAGGAAGATGTACCAACTGAGTGAGTCAGAAGTGGAAAGTGAAGATGAAGACAGATGTCCGATTGCCTCTTTGAAGACCAAATCCGCTTCAAAGAGCACAACAGAGGAAGTGGAAGAAAAAGTTGAGAAGAGAACCGTTGATACCAGCAGCAAGAAGACAGAGGATGGTGTCTTTAATGCTACTGAATCAATCAAAGATGGGGATGATGTGGATGTAGGTGGTCAGTCGAAAAGGTATTTGTCCTGCTTAACAAGATAACCATGGCAACTTCACTTGTTTAAGAGAGTGATCCCTCTATCACAAACTAAGTTTGTGCACTCATATTTATTAAATTAGATAAGTTTATTAGCTCTAGCTTGTTAGTGTTTATTGTTATGCAAATTGAACACAAGAAGAAATATTGAAAAAAACACAGGTCAATCAACTACCAATATCCTGAGATTTTCTGTATTACAGCATGATAAATGAAGCTTAAAAAACCAAATTATATTGCAATTTACCTTTAATGCTGGCATTGATATATTCTAAATCATATGCTAGCTCGGGTAGAGGCTTGTCTGACATCTAGTTTGCCAAATTGAGTTATTGATCCTTGTTTGTCATCTTGATTGCCAAATTAAAATGCAGGCAATTTGACCTTCCAGTAGATCCAGTGCCACCTTCTTCTGAAGTAGTCCCTGAAAACGGTGGAACACCAAAGAGAAAAAGGAAAGAACGGCCAAAGGAGGAGAAAGCACTTGAAGCCGGTCTACTTGAAAAAGAGGATGAAGCCCAGAAAGACGAGGCAAGAGCTGACAATAGGACCCAGAATTTGTGTGTGGAAGATGGACAAGAGCTGAAGGTGTCCAACAATAGGTGAGTCCTTTTTGCTTCCCTTGCCTCGAATATTTACATTCTCACGTCCTGATACTTTGTAGTGTGCATACTATGTATTGCAGTTGGGGAATTTACTGACATTGATGTTTGTTGGTCTTGATTTTCTTTATATTATTGATATGCCCAAGCAGTGAAGCTAAAGTGCCAGATAATTTCTTGAAGCCTTTAACAGAGGTCATCCCCGAAAATGGTGAAAGACCAAAAAAGAAAAGGAGGAAGAGGGTGGAGGAGAAAACATGTGAGGTTGTCAGCGCTAACCCGGATAATGTTGTCAAAGAGGATAAAGGCCAGCAGGATGAGTCAAAGGGTGACATGTGCCACGATCTGCCAGTGAGAAGTGAACAAAATCAGAAGTCAGCCAAGGATGGGTGAGTACCGTTATGTTGTTTTTTGACTTTTTTATTGAAGTATGCCAAGATATGGAACTTTTGCCCCAGGTTTTTCTCAATCTCACAAGATATTTTCTTCTTGTCCCTTTTACCTTGATCTTGGAAATAGCATGACAGGACAAGACCAAAGAAATGGATTGTGTAATGATAATATGCACATCCATATCAGGCCTTTTGCATATGCACACATGCAGTCAGGAATGCATTTGCGCTCCTGAGTGTAGACACATATTTCATCTCCCAAAAGAATGCAATTTCTATTGATCAAATATGTATTGTCCATTATTATCTCCTGTGTGGGAAAGCATGGGCAAGTTAAACATCTCCCTACGGCACTCAATTCCAATATCTATGCGATTTTCAGGCCATATATCTGTTTGTGTGTGATTTTACAATAGTTATCCCATGATTTAAGTATAAAATTGTCTGTTCATTTTTCCAGGAGTTCTGGCCATGATTCAGATAGATTTGTTGATGGTCAATCTGATGAGAAGAAAGTTAAAAAGAAGAAAAAAAGTAAAACCCAAGCACATGGGGAAGCTGTGAACACAGATGTACCTCTCTCGGTGGCAGAAGAGAACGCTGATGCCAAGCCATCTCAAATTAGGACCTTCCCAAGTGGATTGAGTATTGAGGAGTTAGAAGCGGGAAAACCAGACGGGAAAATTGCCACTTCAGGGAAAAAGGCACGTCTATTTTAATCCGTAGTTGATCTATTTCATACTGATGCTGATTTTAAATTTGTTTGTTTGTATCTAACCTTCCAATGCATAATGGTAGCTTAGAATAATATTCTTTCCTCTGAACATTTCTTCAAGAGCAAAATTAAAGTAAAGGATTAATGGAATGTTGATTGTAGTAGCTCTGTTTGGTTTCAGATCAGCGTTCACTATATTGGCAAGTTGAAAGAGAATGGAAGAGTAATTGACTCAACTGTTGGCAATGCTCCTTTCAAGTTTCGCTTAGGTAATTACTGAATGAGATAAAGTCATACTTTTTACCAAAAAATTGTTCTGCGTTGTATTTACATCTGTTCCTTCTTGCAGGTCAGGGAAAAGTTATAGACGGCTGGGATGTTGGTCTTGATGGTAATTATGTAACTTGATTTGTATTTTGTAACTTGGTCTTTTGTTGAATAATTATAATTGCTTTTTATTTCGTTATTTCAAAACTCTTGTGATGCATGCATGATTCTCAGGTATGCGAGTTGGCGAGAAAAGAAGACTTGTTATCCCACCACCAATGGGGTATGTCTTTAGAACGTCAGCTAACTGATTTCCTTTTGTACATTTCTTTCTTTATAAACTCACTACTTGCTCTACATGCTGGCAGCTTTGGGAGCAATGGAGACGGTAAAGACGTGCCACCAAACGCATGGCTGGTATACGATATTGAATTACTGAAAGTTCGTTGAGTGATCGATTCTACTGCCTCCGGTACCGGCTTTTGCTTTTTTCTTTGTGCAAATTTTGTGATTTTTCTCCCCTTCATCAAATGCAAAAGAATTGCGGGAGCAGCAAAGTAGCTCAGCATAGTTTTCAAATGCCGACTTGTGGGAACAGCCTCAAGGCTTTGTGATAGAAAGCTGGCTTTTGTGACCTTAAATCATTTTGTTTTGTTCTCTCCTTTCTGAGTTCTTAATCTTCATTGAACCACATACCCAAATGTAAAAGGTTTTTGAATCAATTGCCAGAGAAATTACAACCGAAACATTCTATATTGTTGCTGAGTAGGCTGTGGAATGGAACCAGCCATTTAACAAGAGTGATTTTGCCTACCAGCCTAATCGTGGTGTATCATTATCATTTCATTAATTAGGCAATCGGCCCAATATCAGATCATATATCATAAGGAAAATAAAAAAGGAAATTTCTATATGCAATGTTCGTAATTAGTGATAGGCAAACTAAATTTTTTTGGTTCGAAAGTCTTAATTAATTTTGTATTAAAATTTTCATACTGATGCAAGGGATTGGTTTTCTTGTTTTGAAGCCGTAAAATTCTTTAAACCTTATTAAATATTTTATTTTTTGTCAGAAACCCTATTTAATCATTTCCACAATTCACCAATCAATTTTCGTCTCATATTTGTCTGCCATAATTTACTCCAGTGTTGTGTTCTTCCATATAGAAGTGAAGCTTTGGAAGAGAATTGTCTCAAATGTTTCACATTGGAAAAAACAAATATGACAAAACGGTGCAGTTTTACTCTACCCTCCCACCTCCCCCTAAAACCCTAAAAAAAATTGTTCTGCGTTGTATTTACATCTGTTCCTTCTTGCAGGTCAGGGAAAAGTTATAGACGGCTGGGATGTTGGTCTTGATGGTAATTATGTAACTTGATTTGTATTTTGTAACTTGGTCTTTTGTTGAATAATTATAATTGCTTTTTATTTCGTTATTTCAAAACTCTTGTGATGCATGCATGATTCTCAGGTATGCGAGTTGGCGAGAAAAGAAGACTTGTTATCCCACCACCAATGGGGTATGTCTTTAGAACGTCAGCTAACTGATTTCCTTTTGTACATTTCTTTCTTTATAAACTCACTACTTGCTCTACATGCTGGCAGCTTTGGGAGCAATGGAGACGGTAAAGACGTGCCACCAAACGCATGGCTGGTATATGATGTTGAATTACTGAAAGTTCGTTGAGTGATCGATTCTACTGCCTCCGGTACCGGCTTTTGCTTTTTTCTTTGTGCAAATTTTGTGATTTTTCTCCCCTTCATCAAATGCAAAAGAATTGCGGGAGCAGCAAAGTAGCTCAGCATAGTTTTCAAATGCCGACTTGTGGGAACAGCCTCAAGGCTTTGTGATAGAAAGCTGGCTTTTGTGACCTTAAATCATTTTGTTTTGTTCTCTCCTTTCTGAGTTCTTAATCTTCATTGAACCGCATACCCAAATGTAAAAGGTTTTTGAATCAATTGCCAGAGAAATTACAACCGAAACATTCTATATTGTTGCTGAGTAGGTTGTGGAATGGAACCAGCCATTTAACAAGAGTGATTTTGCTTACCAGCCTAATCGTGGTGTATCATTATCATTTCATTAATTAGGCAATCGGCCCAATATCAGATCATATATCATAAGGAAAATAAAAAGGGAAAGTTCTATATGCAATGTTCGTAATTAGTGATAGGCAAACTAAATTTTTTTGGTTCGAAAGTCTTAATTAATTTTGTATTAAAATTTTCATACTGATGCAAGGGATTGGTTTTCTTGTTTTGAAGCCGTAAAATTCTTTAAACCTTATTAAATATTTTATTTTTTGTCAGAAACCCTATTTAATCATTTCCACAATTCACCAATCAATTTTCGTCTCATATTTGTCTGCCATAATTTACTCCAGTGTTGTGTTCTTCCATATAGAAGTGAAGCTTTGGAAGAGAATTGTCTCAAATGTTTCACATTGGAAAAAACAAATATGACAAAACGGTGCAGTTTTACTCTACCCTCCCACCTCACCCTAAAACCCTAAAGAGAAACCGAGACGATGGGTAACCAGCTTATCTTGAATTCATCGATACAAAAACTATAAATCCAAAACCAAAAATTACCGCTACGAGAAGGACATAGGGAGCAAAGAAATAGAGACCACCAAAGATGGTTACAAGCGCAAGAATGATAATCATCTCAGGTCCTACTGCATTGCCATTGGAAGTGCTGAAAACTTGGTCCTGAAGATGAGAAGCTCCATTGCTTGTGCTTGGATCTGTTGACTTTGTGTTGACTTCAATCTCATCATCTTCCCAACCAGAAGAGTTTTGATCATTTGCCATGGATGTCTTGGGATCTTGGATCACTTGCTCTATGTGAGGGTTTTTGTTGTTGCATGCATCTTCTGCATGTGGATAATTAAATAATTACTTGATGAACATAAATAATATTTTGCACACTTGATCCAAAATCAAAGACTAACATTTAACTAAAAGACAATAAAGAAAGACTGAGCAAGTTACCGAGAGTATTATAAGAAGAAGTAATTAAGTTCTTATTTTCGAAAGAATCTTCGGCTATGGAGGAGTAGTGACAGAGACCCATTGCCATCAAGAAGAAAAAGATGACTGCAACTTTTGTGAAAGCCATGGATGACCTTAACACTCAAAACACGCTACTTGGAATGGAAGGGAAGGACAGAGAGAAAGAAGGGGTTAACACTCTTATATAGGTGCGCCATTGTTTCTCTAGGGTTTTCTCCATGACCAACAAGGAAAGAAGGAACTCATCATACTTTCCTGAAAATTCTAGGGTTGAAAACTTAATTAATTTCTGTTTTTCTTTATTTGTGGAGAAGAAAACAAATAAGAGGAAAGCTTGATTTACCAGTTATGACTCAATATTTGGAAAGTATAAAAATCTTTATTTTGGCAAATCAATAGTCAACCCTAAACCATAAACTCTGAACCCGAAATTTTCAATTAAAATTAAGAACACCAATTTTCATGTAATTTTATCAAACTGTAATCTAAGCCTTCATCAGTATGTTTTAGGAGAAAAAAAATTAGGGTTAATTTCTCCCAGTGCATTAAGCAAACCAAAGATACAGTGAACCTTAATTAAAGTGAGTCAAACTGTGCTTAACAAAACATAACATGTTCATGTTTCCACACTTTGTACTTCCAAGATATTTACAGATCAAACCCCACATCTTGAAACAAAATTTGGGTTCTGTACACTGATGTAACTCTCGGCAAATAGCCACAAGACACCAATTAAAGCACTCAAGCACTCATTCCATCTTTGGCTCTGATTTGACCAGAAAATTCCTAGCTTCATCATCCGTAACTTCACTGCATTGGGAACATATAGGGAAAAAAATTCAAATAAATGACTGCTGAAAGAAATGAGAAAGATACAGAAACTTTAATTGACTTGAAAAAAAAGCACTTGAATAACCGGAAAGAGCATAAGAGCACGAAACCTGTCTATAGCTTCTGTCTTTGAAATCAAGGTGAGCTCTTTGGATGCAAGAAATTCACAGAAACTGCTGAGGGCTTTCTCCTCGCAGAAAATACATAGAGTGTGCAGAAAATCATTGAACTGTTTCGGTTCCTGCAGAGGACAAACTTTCTGAGGTTAATATGCAATTGTCAGGTAAGTCACAGCTGTCAAAGTACACCAATACAAGTAAACTAAAATTACACTAAGTAAGAATTTAAAACAACTTAAGTTTAAATTGTGAAGTGTCAGAAGGAGCCACTCCTCATTACAAGCTGAGGTGGGTATTCATTTACCTTTTCATTTTTCAAAAGAAGTCATTCTCCTTATAAGTAGATATGCGTCAAATTGTGATTTATCCACCTCATTATGTAAGATTAATTTACTCATTACTCACAAGGAGCCAAGCAAATTTTCTTTTATGGGGAGAGGAAAGGTCCTTTTTTCACAAAATTTAAGAAGAAGAAAAAAAGGAAAAGTAAATAAGTAAATAAAATAATAAAGGATAATCATGGAAACACAAAAAAGACTTGCTCCAGTTTCACATTTATTTAACATTGATGAGAGAGAGAAAGAGGGAGGGACATACTTGCTCTAGGATGCAACCCTTGCGGAGGGCAATTAAGCATTCCAGTGCCTTGGGATAATTATCCCCTTCATAAGAGTCCTCTACTAAGTCGTGTATTTTGTTTTTCATATCCTTAATTGCTTTGCCAACCCACCGTGGGCTATCTCTACGATTGATCATAGCTTCAAAATCCTGGACAGGAGTAGCATCCCCAACTTTCTCAACCTTAACAGCAGAAGTATATTCGCTGGAGTTAGGTTCATCAGAAATGTCAGCATGACCCTCATTTGACCCAGATGGCTTGTCTCGTAAAAATCGCCTACTTGATTTCTTCAGCTGCAAATCAGTTACACATAAAACTTGAATTTCTGTTATAGGATTGCCAAAGGAATATAAAAGATAAACTGCCTGCATGACAATGAGTAATGACCCTTGGATTCTCTTTGACTTCAAAACGGCTGTGAAATACATCAAGAACAGATCTGTTTTGAGAAAGCAACTCTTTATCAGGTTCAGTAATCATCCTGAGAGTTTCATCGAGTGGAGGCACAGCTGCATCTGGGTGCCTTGATTTCAACTCAAGATGACGATAAAAGCGCTGAAAAAAATTATAAAATCTGCAATGAATGTCAATTGAAAACAATAAAGCAATACCAAGTGAAACGACATCAGGAAGACTGGAACATATTATCACTTTAAATAAGCTTTTTGAAGATTTGGCTTTTAGAAACTCTTCAAAACATCTTAATTTGTGGCCTTTAATGCTATGTGGAAATTATCATGGAGGAAACAAGGAACCTGAAGATGGACAAAATTGCATGACTGAGTACCTCAAGAACAGGATTTGGAGTTAGGCCAGGTGGCAGAGCCTCTTCTTTGCCAGGTGGTGCAAGATCAAACATCCTGACAAAGTCATCTGCAGCCTCTTGCTGTTGTTCATTTGGTTGCCATGATGCTGGAAAGTTATCAAAAGAAGGGAATTGAAATTCTCGAACATCCTCAGCAAAAGGGAGCACATTGAAGTAAAATGAATCAGGCTGCCAATAATAACAATAACGCATGCAGAATTAATAGGTATCAGGGAACCATGAAAAGCAAAAGTACTTCAATACAGCAGTCTGTTCAACTGCATATAGAGACTTGAGACTCACAATATTATCATTGTCAGAGACATTAGGTGTCAAGACCCCAACAACAACATTCCCTTGTCCTTGTCTCCAAACACAACGCAAAATTGCCACCTTATTCATATCTTGCATAGCTCTTGCTAGGGCAGAAACAGCAAGAATGGCTCTTGTATTACCCGGTTCAGGGATGAAAACATTGACATCTTTCATGTAATAGTGTCTATGATGTATGTAAGCATAGGGAAGAACCCCCCAAAAAAGGAAGAAAAAAGATCAAAATATTGTCATTTGAATTGATATTCAAAAACGAAACTACATGGTTGGATACTAATTAAAGCAGATACGAGTTTACCGCATTATGTTTTTAGCATCAGAAAATCCCAGAAGCTTCACACTTTTTTCTGGTTTGAACTTGACAGCATCCCATTCAGCAGATGATATGGGAATAACTTGAGGGCCATAACGATAACCTTTAATCCTCTGATCTGGAGGTACAACTTTACTAGGATCTTCAACACTTTTGTACTCAAAGTCCACTTTGACTTCATGTGTGGCAAATTTATCAGTTGGAGGCGCTTTATCAGAATATTTCTTCAGAGTGGGAAACTTCTCTTCCGATGTTTTCTTGTAAACCCATACCTGATTATCAATAATTATGTACAATAAGGTAAGAAGATGTATGATTGAATTTACTTTGACAAAACATAAGAGAGCTCACCTTAATCTTCATTTTGGGGCTAAGCTCAAGATCACCCCTGAATATTGTAACTGGAGATATTTTTCGAGTTCTAAGAGCACCTAGCAATGAAGTCGGACTCTCAACATGCACTAACTTCGCACATGTCTTCCTTGAAAATATACCCAATAGATTATCATTCTCATCCATTACGCTTTTATTTGCTTCCCCAGTAAGACTTCCTCTTACAACTATACTTTCCATTCTCATACCATGTGTATTCATGTGTTCAGCAATGGTGCTGACTTGATCTTCTTTAGTTCCTTCTAGTGGATATTTAATAGGGAATTGTGCATTAGTAAGCAGACAAAGACGTTTCTTTCCTTTGTATGTTTCTCCATATTTCTTTATCAGCATATCCATCCCAACAATTATAGCATCAAGAACTACCAACAAGGTCAAGGCCAAGGATATGAAAATGAGCAAATAATCAAGCACTTGTAAATTATGCTTCTGCTTATACGGGACCAATTTCCTTCCTGAAGCAATTTCTTATACAATTATATCAAAAGATTTATATTCATATGAGAATGACCAAAAACTTCATCAAACTAGAGAGAGAGAGATTGCTCTTTGACAGAATAAATGAAAATTGCAACTATAATCACACATGCGTCTATATACAAAATTCAAGCAATTCAGTATATAAATAGCCAATACTTGTTAGTGTGTAATTATGTACAAAGTTCATCTCTAAAACTCTTATAAAAAAAATTTCGACCCTAAATCAAATAAATTGCAATTGGAAGGATTGTGAGAATAAGTTAAGGAAAAAAGTCTCAACCTTTTGAATCCAAAAGGAGTAAGAATGGAAATATTTTATGCAGAAGGTGCAGGCCAAGAAGAAATCACAATCATGAAAGTTTCACACACTAAGCTGTTGCACTAGAACAATAAAGGATACAATCACCATCACGAGTTCCTCGTGGGAGTTGTTGTAGAGTTTCAACAAGCTGCCCATCAACTACTTTGATATTTTGTAAAACCACAACATGCTCATAACCACCCACTTCCTTTGTTAGTTCATTTTCAGTTTCTGAGAGATCAAATAGCACCATTAATGAGTAATGCTCCCCCGAAAGCTACTAAAGATTTAAATTATAATACAATGGAATTACTGAAATGCAGATAGCAACCAGAAATCACAGACAAATTAAGTATAATCATTTAACATTGTAATTGCTGTAACTTATTTCATACAAAGCTAAACGGTACCTTCTGTTCCAAACAAAATAACTGCTACTTCATCATATTTGCTGTAAATCAGCTGCAAAAACAAAATGGGGATTAACAAAATTAGATTAACATTGTAAAAGCAGCATTACAATAAAACCATTAACCACTCACCTTCTTCTCTGCTAGCATAGAGCAAACTTTTTCTATCACTGGAAGAGCTTTGTGCATTGATGGACTGACATCGATCAACAAAACCATGGCATCCTAATCCCAAATACATGAACAATATTGTTAGCTTAAATATAAAAAACCTGAAAATAAGTTACCCATATTTAAGCAGCATTAAAACCCTAAACCCTGTACAGATAGCAATACAGTGTATCATTTGATTTTGACATATCGTAGTTAAGGGTCTTCTATTTGAAACCTTCAGAACCCAAACAGCCCAAACCAAATTGAAACAATAAAAAAAAATTAAAAAATTAAAAAAATAGAAGAGTATTTTAGACAGTGGAAGGAAGAAGAAGAGCTTCTACTTGAAGAATAAATCAGAAAGAAGAAAAGTTAGGAGCTTTGTTACCTTGTTTCGAGCCATTGAAGAGGGAATTGGTAAAGCTTGTCGCGGAAGTTGGGTTTTGTTTCAAATGGTCTGAATGTTGCTGTGTGACTGTGATGTTCTTTCTTCTTCCCGCTTTTGGGTTGGGAAATGAAATGGCCAAAACTACTTCGTGGCCCCACAAAAATTTAATTATTACATTCAAGCCCTTTATATCAATCAAATAAGGATTTTGATGACCCAGATCAACTATCCTTAATCAAAATTTAATAGTTGGCATTATCAAATCTAAAACTGTAAAACACATAATTGGAGTTCAATGTTCATAAAATTTGAACTCAAGACATTATTTAACAAAATTTAAATTGGGCATCATTATATCATGAATTTGAATTAGGTTGAAGTGCCAATGAAAAACTCATTATATTCCTTATTTCTTTACTAATATTTGGTTTTATAAATAGGAAAGATTATCACGACTCACTCATTTCTTAATTGAATGTTGTCTTAAAGGAAATTTTAGGGTTCGTTTAACAACACTCATTTCAAATACATGTAATTACTTACAAACCATATGTATCATGTAAATCTCCTTATTCAATGAGTACCTTGATGATAACCAAATGTAATGATTTCATTATGAGGAAAAGTGGAAGTTTATAAAGTCATATTTCTGAAAATCCATGAGTGTAATTCTTGATTTCTTACATGCTCTACTGATTTTTTATTTACTTTTAAATACAAGTGATATTAGGGTGGGGGAACCGAACCTATACCCTCGAATGCATGGATGAATTGTGTTAACTACTTGAGTTACATGCCCCTTGCCTCATTTATATTTTGATTCCGAGAGTGTTAGTAAAATAAAGACAGTTTGAAACCCATTGAAAGAAGGTCTAAGTAGAGACTCAAAGCCCACATGTACCGTCCAACCCAGAAAGCGCTAACCCACTTTCAAAGCCCACATTAGGACCCAAGAAGAATTTAGAAAGAAATAAAAGCAAAAGTGAAACATGTGATGATAAAAGAGGCATAACACAGACGCTCAAGATAGCAGCTGCCAACACACAGAGACAGGGCACAAGGAAACAGAGACTTCAACAGAAAGAGAGAAAGAGAGACAGACCAAAAAACAATGGCTTCCATGGCTTACCCAACAAGCTCCTCCTATAACTACAAGAATTACAACAAAGCTTACAGAAGTTTCACCACTCCCCATATCCTAGTTTCTCAGCGGCAGCAGCAAAATGACCAAAAACCCAGTGACCCAATTGGTCGAAGGTGCTTAGCTTCCTCTCTCTCTCTCTCTCTCTATCTCTCTCACACAAAACCCACATGGTTTTTGAACCAAAATTTCTAACAAAAACATTGCATTGAAAAATTTAAAGGGAAATAATACTAAGGAGTAGCGAATTGGCAATGGTAGGAGCCATCTTCAACTTGAGGTACTTGTCCTCTGCATTCATTTCAACTCTTCTTTATGCTTCAATCTTACTCTCCCTCAACCTCATGAAATTTTTTGACTCACTATAATTAATTGTTATGATTTTGGTGGAATAATTTTGATGTGCGGGTGCAGTGGAAAAAAGCCAGATTATCTTGGGGTGCAGAAAAATCAACAGGCTTTGGCACTTTGTCCAGCTACTAAGAATTGCATATCTACCTCTGAGAATGTCTCTGACCTTACCCATTATGCCCCACCTTGGTATGCTTCTTCTTCTTTCTCTCTCTTTCTTAGATTGATTAGGGAGATGGATTCAGATTTTCAGAAGCTTTACCAACTTCATTTGTTTATTTTATTATCTTCTATCACCACTGGGATTTGTGTTGTTGGTGTCTCAAACCCAAATCCATGGAATGTGACATAGTGGAACTTTGACCAAATCGAGGGTCAAAGAAGGAAGGCTGTAAGCCACTAAGCTTGTAAAGGAGGAGGACCATGGGCCATGTGGGAGCCAAAGCCAATGACCTCGTGTTCAAAATTTCCCCTCCCACCAACGACCATTTGAAGTAAAATGTGGTGCACGTGTTTTTTTTTTTCCTATTACAGGAACTACAACGGGGGTAGGAAGAAGCCAGTCAACAGAGAAGTGGCTATGGAGGAACTTCTCCAAGTGGTAAAAAGCATTTCAAACATGTTTGCGTCCTTATCATCTATGGCAACTTAAAATCCAATGATTTATGGCCATTGGACTTTTCTCAGCAAAGATCAATTCTGAAAAGTTTATTTTGCAGATTAAATCAACAAAGCCGGACAAGTTCACACCGCGGATTATGGAGAACAAAAATGATTATGTGCGAGTGGAATACCAAGGTCCCATCCTAGGGGTAGGTGTGACTCATAATCTCGAAGTGTGCGTGGACGATTAATAGTCGTTGATCAATGTCAGGTTTATTTTAGAACCCACATTCATTAACGACTATCAATCATCCAGGCATACATGAACGTAGTTGATTACGACTATCAATCATCCAGGCGTACATGAACGTAGTTGATTAATAGTCTTCAATCAAAAATTGTTAGTCATCTAAACATGCATGAGTAATCGCAAGATAGAAGAATAATAGCATGTTGATTTTCTTATGTTCATGCAGTTTGTGGATGATGTTGAGTTTTGGTTCCCACCGGGCAAAGACTCAATAGTGGAGTATCGATCTGCATCCCGGTTAGGGAGCTTTGATTTTGACTTTAATAGAAAGAGAATCAAGGTGAAAACTACAAGCAATCTTAATTTTTACAACCAACTACATTCAACAAACAACTTCAACTGATTTCCAGACTTTATGACAGGCGTTGCGGCAAGAGTTAGAGAAGAAAGGTTGGGCTTCCAAGGACAGCTTTTGAGAGACACTTTGCTGTTATGCAATAAGATCACATGTAATCAAACATTGGCTCAGTGGTCATGCAGATAGATCAAAATTGAACCCAGATTTTCAAATTAGGCAACTGCAATCATTTAATGATTTTTGTATCGACGTTAGTCGGCTAACAGATCTTGCTTGCAGCTTGAAGGCAAACTAGAAACAAGTCTTGAGTAAAGTGTGTTGGTTCAAGAAAAAAAACTCATCTCAATCATATTAAACATTGGATTTAACTTGTACACAACTCAGTAGAGATTCTTAAAATCCAAATATTGATATTGGAGATACATATTTTGTTTCCCAGTTTTTTTATGCGATCTTTTGTTTCCCAGTTGCTTCTCACATCACTTAATGTAAACAAAACAGAAAATACCAAAGGTTTGAACAGGAGAATTTATGCGGAGCACATATGCAGGTTTCTAAATCATGTAAATAGCAGCAAAAGAAAATCTCAAACAATTGAACTCCAAGCCAATACAGGTCAGGGAATAAAAGAAATGGTGCAGGGGTGGATAACTTACTTTGTTCACAAAGAAAATATCAGTACAGAAATGGTTCTCAACTGTTAACTGCTTTAAATGTTTCACCGTAATAGGGGAAGTTGAGTACAAACTGAAACTTTGCAACAGAATAAACAAGCCATTTCGAGATATGACCTACACAGAGACCTGGAATAGATGACATTTTCAGCTCTGGTCAAAACCGGCAGCATTGTCCTGGGTAGGCATCAATCTTTCCTCAGTTCCATGTACTCATACCGAGTGCCATCAGCATTTAGAACGACAATTTCAAGCCTGTCACCCTGTAAAACATCCAGAATGCGTTAAAGAAAGAGGTGCAGATGAGCTTGATATAAAAATGGACAAATATGCAAAGGACCAAAAACTTACAGTGTATATATCTCTCTCTGTTGCTGATGCAAAAACAGTTTTAACCAAATCTATTGCCTCTGCTTCAGAAAGTGGTGTAACAGCATCCTGCACGTCATATATTGTAGAAAAGGTTAGTAACAAATAACCAATAAAATGAACCAATTGGATAAATTAGTAGAAATCAAAGTCAAGAGCAAACCACGGCGGGCAGTAAGAGAGGGCTAGGCGACTTCAACTGATTATCTAAAAAGGGTATGATGAGTGTAGACCCAGAACCTTGGGAGCTATATCCAACCCTCTCATAGGAACCAACAGCATCATATGTGAAGACACAGCCCTTACCTATAGATTAAGAATTAAAATGACTTGTTAGCAGAAAGAGTCTCAACAGACAGCCAAAGCTTCTAAACTCTAATATTTACCTTCACTATCTAAACCACCCAAAACATTGAAAGCATAGTAGGGAAAGAAGCGTTTGTAGTAAAGAGTGTTGGAAAGTAGTTGAGCCATTGCAGGGCAGCTCATTTGTTTGTTATGTTGATGCTGATAGATCTGGGAAAATTTGACAAAAAGAAAAGCCATCAGTTCCAGAACATACCTCAATTTATTTTGTGTCAAATAAATACAGCCTATTTATGATTGCAAACATCCAAACACCATTTGATAAAAAGAGTACATGAAAAAAGAAAAGTATTGGAATAGGTGTTTAAAAAGAAAAGTATTGGAATAGGTGTTTAAAGCTTCACCAAGTGCTTAGCAGCCAAATGCTTTTGCAAAGCTTTCACATCAGCTTGAAAACCAGACGAGGCTAATACAGCTTTGTCTGCTCTGCAAGTTCAGAAGACAAAACAATACATAAGACCCAACATCATCATATCGGAACTCTGATGAACAACAGAAACTCTCTCTTCATCTACATAAAAGATTGCTGCATTATATCAGCAAGATGACTTTAAAGGGCTGATGTAAGCTATCAAGTATCTTCTGTCGTTCATTAAGAACATCAACTATCATCACATCTCTATCAACAATAATTTAACCTTGAATCAAACAAACTAAGCTCATGTCCATGGTGAAAAAAAAACACTGAGCAGGCTTTGTTCTAAGTAACTAAAAATGATAACAAAAATGTTTTTTTGCTTCATAACTTGAAACAACCCAGTCAACCAATTTATTATGTTTCTAACAGCTTTAAATCCTAAATGATATCAATTTACAGGAACATCCTACTGGAGCAAGTGATCATTAGTTGAAGCAGATACTAGTCACAACTAAAGTGATGCTCATACGGATTGCTCAAAATGCCAAATGTACAACCCAATTGCAATTGATGATTTATGCCTCCTCTCTAACTTTGTTTCCTAAACTTAAACCCCCTCTGGGAAACATAAATATATCAATTTTAAAAGTTATTTGGAAACTATTAATTTAGATATTACTATTGATCCACCATCGTAGCTTCTCTATGAAACACAATACCTGATCATAAAAATGATTAGCAGTAAAACTGCAAGCATTTCAAGAAAAACCCCCGTAATAAAGGGTACATTTCCAAGGTGATGAACTAAATAATGCCATAAACTAAATCCAATGTGCCTGCCCAAAAACCAACTAGCTTTATTTTTTTTGGTTAAATAGCTGAGACATAATGAAAATAAAATCTAACCCCAGTGATAATTAGAATATACCCAAACCAGAAGCGAAATAAAACCAGAGAAAACCTAAAAATGCAAAAAGAAAAAAGAAAAAAACCCTAAAAGCAGTTGCTCAGATACAGCAAAAGACAGCCTTTAATAATCAAGACTTTAACTCTCCAACACACACAGAGAAATATATACATATATACGTATATTGAAATTTCTGAAAAAACTCTGATATATGTAAGAGGGTTTTAAGGGTGAGTACAATTTGCAGATCTTAGAATAGTCGCGGGTGAGAATACTGTAACCAGTCGACATCCGAGTATCGGCCGCAATCACACAGTAATTGGCTCCCGCAATAGCGACACAGGATCTGCGATCATCACAGAAACGAAAAAATCCCCACAAAGAAAAAAGGAAAAACAATCATTAATTAGTATATATGCAGAAATACATGAATAGATACGTTTACACAAAGAGAGGGAAAGAGACAGTACCCGCCATTGTTGTCGTAGGGGGACCAGTTAGCATGCTGCTTGGTCATGGTGAATCCGTCTGGGTCAGTGAGAGAGAGAGAGATGAGCAAATTTAGGGCGTGGAGCTGGAGCAAAAGTGCAAAGTGAGCTCCAGGTTCGCCTTCTTCAATTTTATTCTCTCAGATCGCTCGGTGTCTTTTGCTTCAAGAAATAAATGGGGTTACGACGTCGTTTGGAAAATGAGGGATAGTGAAGCCCATATCATATAAATTGGACCTAGCTTGGACCGGGCTGTAAATTCTGTCCACAAAAAAAACTTTTAGGGCCGTTTGTTGATGCTACAATGAGGGGTTTAATCCAGCCTAATCTTTTCGACCCAGGTAGAGCCGAGCGGCTATACTCTTTAAATATATTATATTTACACTGTATAACCGCACGGCTTTACTATTCATTTAAAAAAAACCCAAGTATAGCCGCTCGGCTATACTATTTGTTTAAAAAATTAAATTAAAAAACCTCACAGTATATCACACCATTCCTAACCTCCCATTCACTTTCATTCAAAACCCAGAACAGCTCTCTCTTCTTTGGCACATTTACTTCAACAATTCACAACTACAGAACCCAGCCACCGCCATTTTCATTCAAAACTCGGACTAACTCTCAATTCTTTAGCGGTAACAATGCCCGCGAAGCCATTGCCGCGATTCGACGTGGAATGGTACTCTTTAGGCATGTAAAATCTGTTCCTTGTTACAGTAGTCAATGTTGTTTTCTAAATTTCTCTTGGCATTTGACATGTTCTTATAGTTTGGCATTAAAAGTTTACAACTTTGTTATTTGTTAAGGGTGATGTTTCAGGGTCTGTAGCAGAATTTGATTAGGCAATGGAGTTGGATCCTCGCCAACAGGCATGTAAGTCTAGTTCTAGTTCTTGATAATTGCTTCTTCTTTTTTTTGTGGTTTTTGGGATATTGAAACTCACTTATATGGGACTAGTGAAGCAAGGGAAGGATTTCCTGAGGCAAGTTAAACAATCATTTCCTATAGGAAGGTTTCTGATCCAGAAGGTTTTTATCTTTTTTATTTATCTGAGGAAGATGATGGATGAAGTTAAACTAGGTTTTGAGCTTTAACTTTGAGCTAGTTACTTTTGGCCATATGTAGGAGCAAACATAACCAAGTATGTTTATGAGTGAGTGTGTAATTCTAGCCAACACCTTTTTAAGTGATTTTTACTTTCATGAATTAAAAAATCAAAAAGGGACAATAGAGACTCAAGTATTAGCGTAATAATAATGGATAATACTCTAAACTACTCATATCGATAAATGAAAATCAGGTAAAAAAATTAATTTTTTAAAAAAAAAGAAAAAAAAAAAGACCCCAGTATAGCCGCACAGCTCCCTCTTCTTTGACAATGTATGACATTTCCATTTTAATTTATTTCGAATCTTTAATCTTTAATTTTGTGGTCAGTTGAATATTGATAACTTTATATGAGTGAGAGAGAGAGAGAGAGATGAGCAAATTTAGGGCGTGGAGCTGGAGCAAAAGTGCAAAGTGAGCTCCAGGTTCGCCTTCTTCAATTTTATTCTCTCAGATCGCTCGGTGTCTTTTGCTTCAAGAAATAAATGGGGTTACGACGTCGTTTGGAAAATGAGGGATAGTGAAGCCCATATCATATAAATTGGACCTAGCTTGGACCGGGCTGTAAATTCTGTTCACAAATAAAACTTTTAGGGCCCGTTTGTTGATGCTACAATGAGGGGTTTAATCCAGCCTAATCTTTTCGACCCAGGTAGAGCCGAACGGCTATACTCTTTAAATATATTATATTTACACAGTATAACCGCACGGCTTTACTATTCATTTAAAAAAACCCAAGTATAGCCGCTCGGCTATACTATTTGTTAAAAAAATTAAATAAAAAAACCTCACAGTATATCACACCATTCCTAACCTCCCATTCACTTTCATTCAAAACCCAGAACAGCTCTCTCTTCTTTGGCACATTTACTTCAACAATTCACAACTACAGAACCCAGCCACCGCCATTTTCATTCAAAACTCGGACTAACTCTCAATTCTTTAGCGGTAACAATGCCCGCGAAGCCATTGCCGCGATTCGACGTGGAATGGTACTCTTTAGGCATGTAAAATCTGTTCCTTGTTACAGTAGTCAATGTTGTTTTCTAAATTTCTCTTGGCATTTGACATGTTCTTATAGTTTGGCATTAAAAGTTTACAACTTTGTTATTTGTTAAGGGTGATGTTTCAGGGTCTGTAGCAGAATTTGATTAGGCAATGGAGTTGGATCCTCGCCAACAGGCATGTAAGTCTAGTTGTAGTTCTTGATAATTGCTTCTTTTTTTGTGGTTTTTGGGATATTGAAACTCACTTATATGGGACTAGTGAAGCAAGGGAAGGATTTCCTGAGGCAAGTTAAACTATCATTTCCTATAGGAAGGTTTCTGATCCAGAAGGTTTTTATCTTTTTTATTTATCTGAGGAAGATGATGGATGAAGTTAAACTAGGTTTTGAGCTTTAACTTTGAGCTAGTTACTTTTGGCCATATGTAGGAGCAAACATAACCAAGTTTGTTTATGAGTGAGTGTGTAATTCTAGCCAACACCTTTTTAAGTGATTTTTACTTTCATGTATTAAAAAATAAAAAAGGGACAATAGAGACTCAAGTATTAGCGTAATAATAATGGATAATACTCTAAACTACTCATATCGATAAATGAAAATCAGGTAAAAAAATTAATTTTTTAAATTTAAAAATAAAAAAATAAAAAAAAATATAGCCGCACAGCTCCCTCTTCTTTGACAATGTATGACATTTCCATTTTAATTTATTTCGAATCTTTAATCTTTAATTTTGTGGTCAGTTGAATATTGATAACTTTATATGATTGCTGGAAGCTCGCCACTAGTCAGTCAGCTACGAACCATTCAACGTTTGACTCATTAATTTTGATTAAAACATACAATTTTATAGAGCATATAATTATTTTTTTATTTATCAGAAAATTGGAAGTATATATATATATATATTCTAAATAATAGCAAAATAAATAATAGAGGTAGCCAAAGCATAGTAGAACTCCAAATACTGGTTGGCGTCAACAGAAGCTGGTTTCGGACTGCAAAGAAAACAACAAAGGCTTATTTAAATTTATTTTTGTGAGAAAGGCCAGAAACTGAGAGAAGACCAAAGCGCAGAAAACAAGAACACAGACGAACGCACAAAAAGGGGAGAAAACAAACAGAGAGATACACGCACTGAGAGAGTGAGAGAGAGAGAGAGAGAGAGAGAGGTGATCGGTTATGGAGATGCTGTGGACATGGCTGTTGAGTTTCTTCTTCATTCTAGCTCTTTTATGCATTCTGGGTTATCAGGTAATTCTTTCTTAATTGTATGCCCTTTTGTTTTTCAAAACATGCATCAAGTTCTATAGGCTTATAGCAGTGTTGAATGCTTGATTCACAGCCTAGGCCCATCTGGGTTTGTAATTTTATGTTTATAATGTAATGGGTTTATTTATTTTTCAAATAAGTATCTGTTCGCATATGGTTTTCGGAATTTTCATAAACTTTTTCCATGAATTTAGAGCTTTTTTTTTTCTCTCTTTGAACACAAAAGATTTTTTTTCGTTTTTGCAAGACTTGGTTTTTGATTTGTTCTTTGGACAGTCCCCAAACTCTGTTTCCCTTTATGTAAAGAAAGTATGTTATAGAGACCCCGGTTGGGTTTTTTTTTTGCAAAATTTGTAGAAAGGTTTTACCTTTTGTTGCTAAATTTGTAAATAAATAAAAAAGCGCTTGAATTTGTAGTCATGCATCCCAATTCTATGTTTAAATTCTTATGCAGAACAACCTGAGTTTGTAAAACAAATAAAATATGCATAAGCTTATTGATAATGAAAAGAATACTGTCTAAATTTTTTGCAGAAATCTAGTTAATGAAGGTGAACTTGTTTTTGGCCTAAAGTGACCGTCAGGCCTATTTTTGTATAGTAGAACTGCTCCTACAAGCCATAGATAGTTAAATCACAGAAATGGTCTTACATTGTCTGGTGAATCTGGTTATTTAGAAGTGGTTCTTGAAATGCTTAGATATATGACCACTGCAAATGTTGAATGCAGCTTGTGTGCTTGGTGGACCTCGAATTCGATTACATCAACCCATATGATTCATCATCTCGGATAAACAATGTTATTTTGCCAGAATTTATTATTCAAGGAGTTTTGTGCCTCATTCTTCTTATAGCGCGACATTGGTTTATGCTTTTATTGGCTCTGCCGCACCTATATTATAATGTGAATTTGTAAGTTTCTTTCTTATCCATTACTCAAATATTGCTGTGTCTAGAATTATATAAATCATGACCTCTGTGTAATTTGTATGGTGCAGTGTAAACAAATTACTTATGAATATAGAGTGAGCTTATTTGACACCAATATGATACTTCAATCCCATCTAATCTCGTCACTCATGGTGGTTATAAAGAAAATTCATATTTTGGAGAAGTACTGTGAGAGAATGGTCGTCACTTGAATAGGATTATAGTATAACTTTGTCAACTGAATACTGTGAGAGAATGGTTGTTACAATCAAATGACTGTAGCATTCTGGTTTGTCTCTGTAACCTGGTTTACATGTGATTAACTAGTTGGGATAAGAAATTTATACTCTACTATAATTTGGTTTTATTGTCATGGATATATGGCCAAGTTATCAACTTGGAATACTTTTGGTGAAATCTGGATCTTTAGAAGTCTTAGTTCTAATATGAAAGAATTACATTGAAGGCTGACTACTCGTATCTTTTATGCATTTTCTTTTTCTAGGATAATTTTGATCCTTACCATGATGTGCCAATTGACTGCGAGGCAGTTTGGGAATTTCGTAATCTGCTTTAACAAAATATATCACATTTCACCAGATAACAAAAATTGTTGCTTTTAAATATCCTTACTCCACCGCAATGTCCATCCTCTCTCTGCCCCCTCCCTCCCTCTCTCCATTTGTGTGTGTGTTGAACAGAGCCTATGCAATTTATAGGCTATTAGGCACATACCAAGATGCTAGTACTTAACTAAATGCACAATGGTGTCTGGGAGGCAGCATGTTAGATTATACTTTGCATTACAAATTATATTGAATGCTTTAGGAGGTTATACAGATATTCCTGTATGCACTGTATTTTTCGTTATCTTTTAATGAAACATGTAAAGTCAAACTTGGAAGTGTCTAATGTGTAAGTTTTAGAGAGCAGAAGTTCTTTTTGTTCTTTAAAGCTCAAGAACAATTGATCAAGAACAGAATTGTATTGCTTTTTATGATTAGAAGAAGAATAATTTCATTCAGCAAACCTCCTTAGGTACAATAATTTCTGATATGATCTGTATGATCAGGTACATGACGGGACGACACTTGGTAGATGTGACTGAGATATATAACCAGCTGAGCTGGGAGAAAAAGAAACGGTTTTTCAAGATTGGCTATCTTTTGGTCCTATTCATCCTTTCTCTATTCTGGTATTGTGATAAGAATGTTGTCACAGCCTTAGTAAAGTGTTTTTTTTTCTCTTTTTAAGCACTTGGGTGAAATTAAATGTTCCTTTCATGTAAATGTTATTTAGGTTGCTTTGGAGCATTGGAGATGAATATGATTAACCAGGTATTCTTGCTCCCACCAAGCCTGCACACTGTAAGTTTATGTTACTCTTTAATTGCTGTTATGTGTTGCAGTTGAGAACCATACATAAGTTAGGCCATTATGTTTGTTTGCATGTTGCAAGTCAATTATTTATACTCGAGTCTTTAGGAAGGAAGCAGTGGATATTGTATGATCATCTTATTTGGTCATATATGTCGTGTCCGTTTCACCAAACCATAATTCTAAATTTCCCAAGTAAGCAATCTTTTTATATTTAGGTCAACATTGTAATCTCTTATTTTGTAAAAGTCAACTTTTGTTATCAAATGCATGTCGTGTATTGAGCTTTCCTTGGTTGGTGTGGCCTTGGTATCAGGTACGTCATTTTTCCAGGATGATACTAATTACTTTGGCTAATTCCAGGTTTCTATGGTGGAGCCCGAGAGACGGACATGAGTAGATATGAATCAGGACTTGTGCAAATTCAGCTCGGTTTCAGCACCTGATTTGTCATTTAATTTTCTGTGTTTGTAGTGTCACAGATGCTCTACTTATATGTATGCATATGCTTGCATTCGTCCCATTTTATCCATAAATTTTCTCTGATCACAATGTGAAGCAGCATAAGCTAGAAGTGGTTGCACATGGTCCTGCCCTATATTCCTTCAACAGTTCCATTCTAATTTGCAATGCGATCAATTTTCTTCCCTCTTATTTGCACACTAAAAACAAGTCGGCAAAGGACCTTTGTCCTCACCTTGTCACGGCCTCTTGTATATAAAAAGTTTTATTTAGTTTCACTATCAAATTAGACCCTGCTAATATCACAATTAGAATGCAAGTAGTTGTACCTTATCCGTGAACAAATATTTTCTTTACTGCTATGCTTCCAGATGTTTTCACTGTTTCGTAAAGTTGAGTATTCCGAATTTAGGTGGATCTTGTACTCATTCATGGATTAATTATTACTCACAAGTGCACAAGGTCAATTGTAATATAGTGTGCACAAGGTCAATTGTAATATAGTATGGCAAATACGAAGTCATTCCCATGAGGATTGAGTTCAACTTCCAATTAGTCTAACCTAATTTACTTCACAAAATACTTTAACTACTCTAATTATAAAAACAAAAAAATTAAACATGTAGCATACTCATGTAAACACAAAAGGGTTTTTTGAATGAATGATTTAATGAACAACGAAATTAAAAGACAAAACAAATAGAAAGTCACGAAACACAAGGATGAGAAATTCAAATCGATAAAAGCACTAGGACAATGAATTCACCACTAGTAATCCGATCTAGTCTCTTATTCACCTACCTATTAACTAACCATTTGATGTCGCCGCTTCATTTTCTTGTTTCATGAATTACCCCTCATATATTCCTACATGCAATTCGCCTATGGTATTTAGGTCAAATATCAACACATATAAACTCATTAAGATCAATGAAAACCTCCGACAAGCATGTAAACCCTAGGAGTATGGTATTTACCCTAGACGAATTACAAATCCTAATCACAAGAAGCAAGCCTCAAATTAAGTATGGTATTTACTCTAATTTGCATCCGATTAACTCAAATAAAAGTCTAGATTGTGATCAAGCATCAAGATAATCAATCAAGTTATTAAGCATAGTGATTAAGAATCCAACATCAAACGGCAATCAATAGATAGGTAAAATAAGAAAACTAGATTATCATACTAGGTCTACATCATGCCCTAGCAAAAGAAAATTAGTTACACATTGTTGAGGCCCAAAAAGTCACGACAAGCCCAAAAGCATTTAAAGCCCAAAATGACGTACGTAATAGGGAATAAATTGGTCATGAATTAATTCCAATTATATTTTTGGGAATTAATTCAGCAAAATAAATATATACACAAGCTTTTATACAAATTCTAATAGCATCCATATCATGCCAAAAACCTATTCCTTTAAATTCCGATATGTCACTAAGCTCAATCACAAAAACCCAAGTCACTGTAACACATGCCCAAGCATTCCAAGCACATGCCAAATAATTCCATGTCACGCTAATACATTTTCCTATGCCAATCACCTAACAAGCTCATATGAACCCAAGTCATGTGATTTACGGGGCTTACCCGAGGGATTGTGGTGTGGAAGGATACGGAGGTCCACAAGACCCACGAAAGCTCTTGGATAATGGAGACTTTGGGCTAGCTACTTGGGAGCACCAACGTCCAAATCCGTTACTTGGAGTTCTCCAATGTGGGTGAGCAAATGAGATATTCTTCAAGCACTTCATTCTACGCATAAGAAAGAGTCATTTTCCAATGCTTGACTTCACCTGCTGGAAATAAGAATGTCCCAATGCTCCCTATTACCAGCTGGAAACAAGCCAATTCCAACACTTCCTTTTACCCATAGGAAATAGTCATTTTTCAATGCCTAGCTTTACCTGCTGGAAATAAGAATTTCATAATGCTCTCTTTTACCCATTGAAAATAGACTAGCTCCAACACTTCCTTTTACCTATTGGAAACCAAAGAGAGCATTCACCTTCTATACATTGGGAGGCATTGCCCAGGCAAAACCAACTCCTCTTGGTTGCTGCAAGCCTCTCAACAACCATGAGAACTCACTCACCTTTCTCTTAACTGCTGCAAGCATCCAGTGACCATCGACCCATTCTCTTGGCTGCTGCAGGCTCCCAACAGCCATCACAACCATGTCTCCTACTTTCTCATCCTTAAAATCCTTAATCTTCTCCATAAAGCCTCACCTCAAGCATAAGCCCAAGCTACTCCTTCATCCTCCCACCTCTAGAACTCATAAATCTCTCTAAAATCATAGTCACAAACACCATAGCCTTTAAAGTCTTAAGCTTTTCTTTCCTCAGCCATGCTCTTTGAAACCCTATTCATTTGATTGCTATAAGCATCCCAACAACCATCACAGCAAAACAATCAAACCACCATAGCCATAGCTTCAAACAATAAATTCTCAACACCCAAACTCAAGCATATCAAACACCAAGCCAAGCACAAACATTCTCATTTGCTAAACTTGTGGGTCTTTAGTTCCCACACTCCAAGCTCTTATGCCAAGCTCATATAACCTCAGTTCAACGTCAGCAAATCATCTTCACCCATTTTCAAAGCTACAAAACGTCAACACAAAACATGTAGCCGCTGGAAGAACAACAAAGTGCTCTCCTAGGACTTGCTTCTCCTTCGGGATGCTTTGGGCCTAGTTCTCGCTAACTCAGAAAAATGGGCAAAGAAGGCCTGATTCACCACTTTATGATGGTCCAAGAATGAATAAACTCGGACAAGCCTTCCGACAGAAAAAGACCCCAACACACATAATCATAGAATTCGACATAAACAAAAACATAAGGAAGAAACAATAAAACTTAGCCAATTGCGGTACTCTTCCAGGGTCTCCAATTTCTCCTAGTCACTGCGTCCTCCCAAAGGAATTGTTTCTCATGCTTAAATAAAACACCACACATCAATTCCTACCCTAGTTGGGCTTTTACAACAGCCCAAAAATAAAGAAAACCCTAATTAAAACATAAATCCAAAATGGGTAAGTAATTGACTCATCTTTCTACTTTGATTGGGATAACACGTTAGTTACTTTGCACGCACGTTTGGAATCATTCCTCCTCCAAGAAAATTCAGGAAAAATATGTAAATTGTAGGTCTTTGTCTTATCTTTCCAGCCATATATTGCACACCTTGAGGAAAATTAGAAAAGTCTTCAAATAATCATTCTTCCACAGCAACACAGTTTTGACAGGATTGCACCTTATGCTGACTTAACTTCAAAGACTGCTCTCATTGGCTGCTCCGAAAATTCTAGAAAAATTCCACACTTATCTTCAAGATCTTAGCTTTCATTTCCAACTGGTCTTGTACTAAAACTCCACCAAAAAGTTGTATTTCCGTTGAAAACCAATTACTTGCTCCAGAAAGCTGAAAAATTGAGAAAATAAAGTAATAAGTCCTTTTTAAATCAAATTCTCCAAAAAAAACTAAGTATAAGAGTACATAAATGTGTAAATTTATGGACTTATCAATTATGCCTCCTAATTTGGTTTAGGCAAGGAAGAAACTCCCTACAACCTATTTTCTTATCGAATACCTCTAAATTCGTATAATCGCTCACAAAAATCAAAAACCTTGTATGAATTTGAGTTTACAATTCGTCTCATCCTTTAATCACTCACAAAAATCAAAAGCCTCGTATAAGTTTGAGTTTACAATTCCTCTCATACTTACTTAGGGGGGTGTATCCAATTCTAACTTTTAAAGACTTTTTGTAAGTAAGTGACTTTTATAGAGTTGACAAATTCTTAATGACTTTTACATACTTTATAAAGTTAAGTGTATACTTTCATATACTTTTATCATAGAGTTTTACATACTTTTATCTACTTTTTTAAATATTTAATTATGAATAGTATTTATCTTTTTAATATTTATCATAGAGTAGTATAACCAAAAAAGAAATTACTTCTAATATTTATGTGTTGTATGGTGAATTAACTAGTCCGCATATGGAACAAGTAGCCAAAACAAAAACAATTGGATACAATTGTGTAAAAGCAAAGATAAGGGGTGTCATCAATATTATGGATTTAATTAGTTTTTAGTTTGTAGAGTTGGGTCTTTGGGAAGAAGGGACAGATTATCCGATTGCTGGAACGAAGTTGAGATCCTCAAGACCTTCTAGAAGTATACTCTGTTTGGGTGGGAGATACCAGTAAAGTGGCATGGTGATAGAGCCAAGCCAAATAACAGCACCAAAATGTGGGGTTAGCTATAAACCCCGGGATGCTAAGAGCTAAATTGCTGTTGGAGAATGTGGGTTTTGTAACAAAATCATATGTTCCTACAGATAGGCCTTAAAAATTGCCAATGGAGGCAAAAAAAATTTATGGAAGAAACCAATGCAGTCCCACCATAGCTCTTTTAGCACGTAGCAATTGTTTCAAGCATTAAAAAGAAAAGAAAAAAGCAAGAAACAGCTCATCATCATGACAATTCCCAGGACATATAATAGAAGCCAAAAACAAAATCAAATTGGCGGTGTAAGTAGGCCATCTCTTGATAGTACACCGACCAAAGAGGGAGGGGGTCTAGAGACCCAAACACGGTGGCACACACCCTCGCAATGGCCAAAGCTGCAGCATAATCGAATTCATTGATAAAGTCTTGGGTAAATTAGCAAGACTTTTGGTGTTAAGAATTAGGCTTAAAAGTATTGAAAAGTCATCCATTTAACAAAGTTTTCAAAAGTCATTAATTTTTTGGATACCACAAAACTTTTAAAGACTTTTTAAAATCACAATTGAATACCACTAAACTTTTAAAGCCTATTTAAAAGTTATAGTTGAATACCTCTAAATTCATATAATCGCTCACAAAAATCAAAAACCTTGTATAAATTTGAGTTTACAATGCGTCTCATACTTTAATCACTCACAAAAATCAGAAGCCTCGTATAAGTTTGAGTTTACAATTCTTCTCATACTTACGTAGACTCCACTCCACTAATGATCTGTTCGTTTCTATGAGATGAATATTCCTCTATTGCCCTAGAAACTTCCACATTGGCGTACACTTTTGCATCTAGTTGCAAAACGCAAAGAATATATGAAGTTAGCTGTTGTGCCTCAAAAGAGGTTTCTTTTAAAAGTTATAAACTCGCAAGCGCACGAATCGAATATAGCATAAGCGTGTAAGAGCGAGATCGTACCCAAGGGATTGCGTGTAAAGATAGAAAACCAATTATACCCAAGTTAATTTCATTGCCAACCTAGTTGATTCAAATGGTGATTTGTTTGTTGATAAAGAAAATTAAATAAAGCATAAAACAAATATGGAAATGACAATAAACTGAAATTAAGATTTAAACTTATAAGAAAAATAACTAAGGTATTGGAATCCACACCATCATTCCATAAGATCCTAATTATTTATCTTTCAATTCCCATGGAGTAGCAATCTAGAAATCAATCTACTGCTTTCTCAAGATTTATCAATTAAGCTTGTAATTTATATCATAAGTAAATTCTCCTTCCCTTCATAAGTACAAATTCTAAGCATAAAATGTAAACAAAATTATTTAACTACAAAGGATCAGAACTCTATTCATATATTTGTAATAATACACCTTCTTTCCTAGTCTCTGTCTGGAATACGAATTGTTTGGGGGTGGGTTTGAAGTTTCATCATGTGATTTGATTTTATTGTGCTTGTTGGTGGACTTGTTTGAGTTTATTTAATTCAACGAACTAATTTGAGAAAGACAGACATGGAGGCCATTATATTGGACTGAGGTTGAAATGTGAATGGAAAGAAACTTGTATATTACCTGTCTATTTGTTTGACTGCTGGCATAGACAACTAGCAAATAGCAAACCAGTAGGGTCTTCTTACGTATTCCACTATACTCTAGCACAAAAATTAAAAACTAAAATTAAAATGGTTATCAAACGGACCCCTAGATAGCTGCATTTCATAGTTTTCATTTGGAAACGTCAACAAGCAGTGGATAAGTCATACTAGGTACTTCTTAATTCTAGACCAGTGACAATGACATATATATTATGTCATATACACACACAGTGACACATATATCTCTCTCTTCCAACATGAACTCTAATCATCAAGCATATACTGAATGCTATATTTCTTCAAGACTCAACAACTAAAGACCTTGTTTCATTAGGATTTGATTATAAAAAGCAAATGTTTTTGTTGATGACTTTGGAGTAGAACCTGGTATGTGGTTAATTTCCACAAGACAGTAGAACACGCAACATGCAGTCCAGATTTGGCAGTGTATTTCTCACGTATTCAATTTATTATTACCCATAATTAGCTATATTCACATTCTCACGACATAATATGTAGACGTCAACAAGCAGTGTAAAAGTCATTCAAACTACATTTTAGTTCTTGACCAGTGACATTTATATCTCTTCCTACATGAACACTAATCATCAAGTGCCACAGCATATATACACTAAATGCCCTTGGTTGATGACTTTGGAGTTGATAGTTTCAGTAGGAAATTAATGTAAATTATACAGTTGATGACACCTTGATGATATATATGCTGACTTAGTAGCAATTATGAATGTTCACACCTCAGCACATTTACCCTAAAGGCAATTGGAAATGCAAGGTGTCCCCCAACTGTTTGCTTAATATTATATTTTTATAAAATAAAAAAATATTTCTCCCCAAGCTTTCTTCTGAGGAAAGTTTCCCATAAGCAAATTAATAGAAAATTTTGTCATGAGAATTATATATGTTCCAAAATGAAGACACAGAATTTAACTAGAGTAATAACCTTAGACATAATATTCTAACAATTTATTATTATTCCTCAACATTATAATACAACACAAGTACTTGAAGTACGTATTCACACATCACCAAATGAGTCCCAACAGCGTCCTTACAAAAACACAGAACTATCAAGAGACTAATGAAACCCCAACTTCATCATCCCACAACTAACATTTTGATGAAGGGGGAGAAAAATTAAAGATGAAAAAGCAAGGTTGAAAGGTGAATGGAAAGAAACTTGTATATTACCTGTCTATTTGTTTGACTGCTGGCATAGACAACTAGCAAATAGCAAACCACATGACGTCCATTTGGTAGGGTCTTCTTACATATTCCACTATATTCTAGCACAAAAATTAAAAACTAAAATTAAAATGGTTATCAAACGGGCCCCTAGATAGCTGCATTTCATAGTTTTCATTTGGAAACGTCAACAAGCAGTGGATAAGTCATACTAGGTACTTCTTAATTCTAGACCAGTGACAATGACATATATATTATGTCATATACACACACAGTGACACATATATCTCTCTCTTCCAACATGAACTCTAATCATCAAGCATATACTGAATGCTATATTTCTTCAAGACTCAACAACTAAAGACCTTGTTTCATTAGGATTTGATTATAAAAAGCAAATGTTTTTGTTGATGACTTTGGAGTAGAACCTGGTATGTGGTTAATTTCCACAAGACAGTAGAACACGCAACATGCAGTCCAGATTTGGCAGTGTATTTCTCACGTATTCAATTTATTATTACCCATAATTAGCTATATTCACATTCTCACGACATAATATGTAGACGTCAACAAGCAGTGTAAAAGTCATTCAAACTACATTTTAGTTCTTGACCAGTGACATTTATATCTCTTCCTACATGAACACTAATCATCAAGTGCCACAGCATATATACACTAAATGCCCTTGGTTGATGACTTTGGAGTTGATAGTTTCAGTAGGAAATTAATGTAAATTATACAGTTGATGACACCTTGATGATATATATGCTGACTTAGTAGCAATTATGAATGTTCACACCTCAGCACATTTACCCTAAAGGCAATTGGAAATGCAAGGTGTCCCCCAACTGTTTGCTTAATATTATATTTTTATAAAATAAAAAAATATTTCTCCCCAAGCTTTCTTCTGAGGAAAGTTTCCCATAAGCAAATTAATAGAAAATTTTGTCATGAGAATTATATATGTTCCAAAATGAAGACACAGAATTTAACTAGAGTAATAACCTTAGACATAATATTCTAACAATTTATTATTATTCCTCAACATTATAATACAACACAAGTACTTGAAGTACGTATTCACACATCACCAAATGAGTCCCAACAGCGTCCTTACAAAAACACAGAACTATCAAGAGACTAATGAAACCCCAACTTCATCATCCCACAACTAACATTTTGATGAAGGGGGAGAAAAATTAAAGATGAAAAAGCAAAATTACAACCAAAAAAAAGTATTAAGGCTTTTTTTTAAAATATTTTTCTTAATTTTGGTGAGAAAATAAGATAGAAGTTTTCACATTGAGCTAGCCTTGAATATGAACCCTAGAGGGCTAGGGCTAGCTAGAGCTGGATGGTTGTGCTTGTGAGTCTATTGCAGCCATGAACGTGAGCTTCTCATAAAGCAACTCCTCTCTCCATTTCCTTGTGACTTTGGCTATGAAATCCTCAGTTCTCCTCTCCAAGTCAGTATCTATCTCTAGACCAAAAAACTCTTCACTGTTGATATCATCATCACTGCCATCATCATCTTCATCCTCATCATAACCATCAGAGCCATAATATCCATAACCCTCGTCACAATCACTATCATCACAACAACGATCTTCGTCATTCGAAGCTTCCTTTTTCGTATCGTTTTCCATTTCATACCACTCAAGATCTTCTCTGGATGGCCTGAAACTCCCTAGCACAAGTGTGATAATGATGACATTAAACATGAAGAACACTGCCACGCGATTCGACTTCGCCACCACGATAAATTCGTAGGTGGAAAGAAGAAAGTTGTGACGCTTAGAATCTGGTAGGGACAATGGGAAGGAAATCAAAAAGATGAGAGGGATTGCTAGACAAAAGAGAAAAAGAAAGCGTAGTGCTGGTACGGAAACTGCCTTCATACCCTTCATGTAGAAGAATATACCATTGAGGCTTCTTTTTATAGCCCAGTTGAGAATTTTTTCCATTAAATAATAGTGAAGAAGTTTTCCGAGAAACTTTGCAGAAAGTCTACTTCTCGAAGATCACATGTCCACGTGGCATTCTATATACCTATCATTTGTCAACAAGGCTAATCTTTAGTATAAGTACTGAGAAATTTCTCACCTTCCTTGCTTTTAGGCAACAATGAAGCAAAGGAAAATATAAGAGTAATATAAATTAATAGAATATATGTCAAATAGGGTAGTAAAATATTCAGAAATAATAATATAAATTAATTGAGTGTTTGGTGGAAATCCATACAACAAGTAAGATCAAGATAGTGGTCCACGACATGCATGATGCATGTAAGAAAAATAAATTAAAAGAGAGAATTTTGAACAAAGAAAGTGATTAATTATTTGATAAAAAAATATATATGAACTATTGATGAGGTCTTTGTTTATGATTACATGCAATAAAATTTACTCCAATGATTCAGGAGGTGCAGCTTCTCAGTTAATCCTCTTATTTGAAAGGTTTGTGGGGCTTGGGAAGCATCAATAATCATGAAAAATTAAACCTGTCCTTATGTCTAAACACTAGGATTTGAACCCACGACCTCCGTGATAACGAATTACCACTCGAAGAATGCACAATATATACTTTCAGGTCTAGATTTAATGATTTGATTTATACTTTCAAGTCTAGATGCTTTCAGGTCTAGATCTAATAATTTAATAATTTGATATGTTATATTATCAGACGATTTTGAATGTATCAAGCTTAACCCCCGGGCTCAATTCAGCCTATTTTAGGTCCATATGTTTGTTGATTTATTTATTTATCTCTTAATTGTTTTTATATTTTCTTTTCATCTAGAAAGCGGCTTTCCACAAAGACTAGGAAATCCCTATCCGACGGTATTTCAGACTAACTAGAATGTCTGGCTAGCTAGATTATCTTTTTGACACTTCAACGAGTATGATAACTCCGGAAATGTAGGTCCTCTTTCTTGCTAATTAGAAAACAACAATATCCATGGTCGAAGGTCGGCAGTTGGCTCATCTTATTCGGGTCCCACCAATATTTAGAGCAAATAGATTAAGATTATTTTGAAGTATTTTTTTCCTGTGAAAGACAATTAAGTTCTTTCTTTTTAGTAAACAAAAATCACCAACGCTAAATGAAACTGCAAAATTAATTAGATTGTAAAACGGTATTTACCAATAGGTAAGGATAGCTAAATGAAACTAGACTAAATAAAAGTTGAAGAAAAACCATCACAAACCCAGCCATAAATAGGCATATTGGTTCCAATTATTCCTATAACAAATCCCTTTTGCTTAAAACAGCAACAGGAGGAAAATCAAACTAGTTAACTATCCTAGGAAGCAGGTGCCCGGTTTTCACTTTGGCCAGGAGGCGAAGATCCGAGGTTTGGTTGTGGCTCACCCGAGTTTTGGTTCGTCACCTCCTTTGGTATCACATCTGGCTCGCCAGGTATGAAACTGCCAACAACGACCTGACATGCTCAAAGATGGGAAGGTAAGATATACGCCCCAGGGTACGGTTTTTCAAAGCAAAAGTTATATGTCGATACTTGAAAGCTACATTTTTGTTGGTTATCTTTTATGCGCGTTGTCTAAAAGACCTTAAAAATCTTTCTCACATCCTAACAGCTCCTATCTTACAGAGGTGTAAACAGCACACGCGCCCGCACACACACACAATAAACAAATATGAGAAAAGCCTCACCTGGACATGACCGGCAGCAATCAAGGATCCACAAACAGCTCCACCTATAAAAGAACCATTAGGACCTGACAGAGAGACACTCAAGCCGCCGCTCATTGTTCCTCGATTGTCGTAGAACATAAACGATCCAGATAAATGAGCTATCTCAAATACACCCTACAAGAAAATTAGCAATAGATCTTAGAAAAACAGAAGTCCCCAATACGAACAAGACGAATTTCCCCACTGCATATTTTAGTACCATCATGATCAAAACAAAATTTCATACTGACTAACCATTTTATCAAAATCCAACCATTGACATTTACGCAAAAAGAAAGAAAAATACTCTACCAAAATAGGAATATCAGCTTTCCAGTCAAACCCAGTTAGTGAGTATACATTTGTGCTTACCAATGAATAGGATTTTTGTGCTCAAGCAAAGATGTAAAACACACACTCACACACACACACACCACAATATACATCTTGAAATGGAATGAGTGGCAGACCTCAAGTGTTACACTGCCTTCATCAGTATCAGGTCGACGCAGTCTAACATTGGAAACTGCTCCGTTTGCAGATATAATCCAAATGGCTCTTGGGCCTTGTTCAGCCACTGATATAATCTTGAATGTAAGATCCTTAAACCCAAGAAACAGAAGAGAACAAAGAAATAAGAGGGGGGTAAACAACATTAATTTAGTTTGAGATAGAGAAAAACAACCTAAGAAAGCAATAAACATTTCAAGTATAAGTATGAATAGAGTAAACACACAGTTTTTAAAATTTTCAGAAGCAACTTCTTGTCATCAATTTAGAGTAAGGATTTGAAACAAAAAATACTTGCAAAGAATTTAAGAGAGAGTACTCCATGAGCTAGAGTTCTGAAATCTCTAGAGGTTTAAAAAGACCCCTTCTTCCAAATAGAACCTCTGAGACCTAGATGAACTTGGTGATTTTTATTAATGTTCTTAAAAGTTTGAGGTGTGGACATCTCTCCAGAGAGCCCAACAAGTGGAACAATTGTCAACAAATTATTTTAGATTAATGTCTATACATTGAAATATTACTGATTTCATCGATCATACTAAATGTAATACTAAAATGCGGAAACTGATAATTAAACTCAAAAAGCAAGGGAACGCACACATGGTGGTGACCCACAGACACGTAGAATGTTTCTAAATAACGCAGAAAACTTTACCGTCACAGTTCTTGCTAATCCTTGTGATACTTTTCAACATTCGGTGAATTTTTATGGATCAACCAGGGTCAAATTCATGTCAAGGACAGACAGTGATCAAACCAGAAGTACAAATAAGAAAACTCTACAATCAGTAAATGACACTATATTTTACCTCACCAGGTTCGGCAGTGATGACATGGGGCGTATAATCTGTAGATGGAGTCACAATTACACTCCAGTCCCCTACAAAATAAAAATATGATTAGTGGGCACAAGATTCTTAGAAATTATCTGAATTAAAAAGAGAATTTTATAATTATTCATCTCCATAATGTTTGCAGTAAATTATGATGGAGTTGCTTTTCACGGTCAGTGGGCACAAGATTCTTAGAAATAATCGCAACCAATGTAATCACTCTCTTAATCTTGAAAAGAAGCCACTCAAGGTGATGTAAGCAAGACAAAATGGAAAAATTAATATGCACAAAAATTTCAGCTAAGAATTGAGTCTTCCCACACTTTGTGAGCAACCAACCAAAACTGGACAGACCAATTGAAATTACAATTTCAAAAGAAAACAAGAAAAGGAGTGATCATGAATGAAACCTTCAAGATGGGGCACATATGATATGGACTTATTTGACTCATCTCCCATCTGTTCCACCTCCTCTTCGCTGTTCAATGATCCCATTATTTATTCTCTCTGTCTAATTCCTTTAAACCCAAAAAATTTGGATTCAGAAGAAACAATTTTTATCTTGTGAGTATGTGAGACAGAACTAAGAAGATGATGAAACGGCACAATTGGGACTGGAACAAGAGGATCTCTATTTAAATTTGTGGGGAAAAGTACAAAAGGAAAGCACCCGTACACAAAAGGAAAGCATTTTACACAAGGAAACAAAAATATATTAGGGTGGCCAGTTTAGCATGGGGGCTGAATCTAGGGTGGCAATTTTTTACACTAATCAAACTCAAAACGAAGTTGGCTGGTTCGGTTTGGACCATACCTTGACATGAACATGAATATGACAGGAGCTGCTAACATAAATAACAAACAGATTGGGTTAGTATTGCATCATTCGACACAATTGATTAAATAGGTCGTGTTAGGGTTGACTAGTATTTGACAGATACACAGAACGATAAGACATGAACACAACCAGTTAACACGAATTTCAACCCCCTGGCTGAATGACAGGAGAAAGGGTGGTGGGGAGGGGTTTAGATTTCGGGGAAGAGGTTAAAATGAATTACTAAAACTTGATGAGGTTATAGGTTTAGGTTGATGAGGGGCATTGTTGGTACCTTGGGTAGCAAGTGAGGAGTATATAGTGAGCAATAAAGTGGCTAAAAGAAAACTGAGCGAGAAGAAGATGAAATGGAACGGTTGGGATTGGGACAAGAAGATCCTTGTTGAGATCTTTTTGGGGAAACAATACAAAAGGAAAGCTAGATAATGATGATCGGTTTATGGTGGGAGATGAACGATGGGTAAAGGGGGATGAGGTGAAGTCTTGATGGTGGTGTAGATAATAAAGGCAAATAGACTTTTGTGTGTAGGTGTCGAAATAAGTGGAAAAGCTTATATATCATAGCAATCCAAAAGAAAGAAAGGCATGCTGAGTGGATTTGGGCTATGATTAGCTGCTACACCTCAGATTTTCTGTGAAACAAATTTAGAAGTCCGAAAACTACGCTTTGTTACGTAGACTACACAAAAAACCTCTAGCAGTAGCCTATACAGCAAGAATAACATCCTACAATAGACCAAAGTTTGGCTGACACCTGATAGGAAGGCAATCTGGCAGTCCCATTGTGTGCATTAAACAAGAACTGCTAGAGGGTTAGAGTTTGATAAGCCCTGAATGAAATATTGAATTTTGTTCAAAACTATTTGGAGGTCAAACCAAAAAAGAAACAGAACTTCTCACAACTCCTATTATACTCTAAGATGCTGATATCCTCCTTAACTAAATCAGGACGAGCATCCTCTGTTGAAAATTATTGCTTCTTTTTAAGATCTAATGCTTTATTCAATTTCTACCATCTTAGAGTATCTTGTATGTCTCCTTTATGTACAGGAGGACCAATTTTACCTAATTGAGGCCACTTTTCTATTCATAGCACCACCAGCATTACACTTCCAAATTTGAACAAGAGCATCCATCCAATAAAGAACTACACAAACTGAGGACAAGTTCAAAAATCCATGAGTATTAACACAAAATCTTCTAAGTCTGAGAGGCAGTTCCACTATAAGAAAACAGAACAAACTATTAATGCTGATCAAAAGTGAATCCAAACCATCAAACTTTGCAATCGAGAACTCGTACCACATTTATTATATCTTATTTTTCTCACAAGAGCGCATAATTCTCAAACCAAAACAGCATGCTATAAGATGCAAATTGGTAAGTACTGAAATGGTTAAAACACTCACCACCCGATTCCATTGCTGGTGCCTCGCGCTGCTTGGCATTTGAACCATCAGACCGTCCCCTCCCCCTCCCTCTCCC